GGTAAACACATAACATAATGAATGAACAAAATACGAATAGATTAAAAATATAATTAACTGAAGTCTTTGGAGTTTGTTTTTTTAGTTTTGTGATTTTTTTTAATGACAAATATATAGTTTTTATACATTTTATGATCATGTATAGATATATTTATATTTTCTTTATTCATGTAAATTGTGTCTTTATTCAGTTTTACTTTGAGCATGAATACAAACAAACTAAAGACAGTTACATGACTATCACCATATCCATGAAGTAAAATTATCACACAAATTGCTACCTAGCTAGCACATCAATTAGGCCTAACTTTCCACATAGCTGTCATTTGATTTTAGACCAGTGTTCTCTGTTATTTTATTTTTGCTCTTCAGCAGTCAATCGTGCCTTGCTGTGAAGTTATGAAAGCTGCTCAGACGAAAACAGCTATAGCGTTTATCAAGTTAAAATGAACAAAGAAACACGGCAGCTGTGGTGTTGACAATTAACTGATGGATATACAACATCATTACATCATCAAATCATATAAGGTCAATATCTAAATATATTAATAAGAGTAGTTGTGTAAAGGCCTGACTTGTGAAGTAAAACTTGTGCTACGTTTCGTTAGCTAACCAGCAGCGTTTGTTTCGTGGCAGAGACAGCGTTTGCTATCGTAACAGGCAGGTTAAACACGGATACTTGCTAAAAGTTGCCACATTTCTGCACAATATACATTCTTAATAAATGTAGCCGTCTCAGTTTTAAAGACAGAAATTAGTGGACTTGTAATTAAAACACAAAACCAACGGTATATGGTTGTTTTGACTTTAGTAGCCATAATTAGCCTATTTGTACAGTCTTCTAGCTGAGACATCCAGACACGTCACCCGAAACATAAAACATTACTTAAACGGTGTTTCCCATCTTTAATCGATCGACTCTTACACGTATTTCCTCCTCATGTATGTCCCTTTTACATCAATGCTCGAGGGAGATTACTTTGAGGATGTATGTATGTATGTAATATGGCTAAATGTTGTTGTTGTTGTTCTGCAGATGGCTGACTCTCATTACACAAACTGAACCCCAAACTAGCCAGCGACTGTTTAGCACTTACCTCGCTCGCTAAGGTTTTCACAATGATCCAATGTCCTGTGCGGGATTTAAAACTAAATGCGCAGGAAATAATGTTCAGGTTCCTCGGCCTTTAATGCTGCTGATGGTTAAACGGACTTGTGTTGTCTGTCTGTCTGACTGACTGTCTATTTTGTTTGGAGGAGGACCACAGTCTCCACCCATAAAAACACAGAGGTACACTCTGTCCGCAGGATGGAGCTGCAGATGCTGCACGCATGCAACTAAAAGTAGTTATTATTATCTGGATAACATATTAAAATGTGTATTATTTGTATCCGCAAATACAGGCAATTTTATTATTTTAATTAAGAAATGGCTGTTCATGTGTTGGTGTGGTGATAATTACAAACAACTGGTTGAGTACCACGTTGTGAAAGTATCGCAGGGTGTAGTGTTGCATGGGAACAGAGACATTTAAAGATAAGATGAGAAGGTTTATCTTGTATCTCTGGCGGGAGGGGATACCAAGTCATCCATGGTACATCCATGGGGGGTACTGATGCAAACCAACATCTCCCCCTCAGAGCGGAAGTGACGTACATCCTGCGAATCAAAGATCGTATCTCTTATGAGGAGATATCATGTTATAGTGTAAAACAGTGCGTACTCCATACTCAAAAGCCACCTCATATCTTTAGAATCAGTAGGATTGTCATGAGAGCCAAAGATAATAATATAGATAAGTCTGGAAAACACACTAGGCCCTGATAGGCTGTGTATTTATTGTGTATCCGTTTTGTTGGTAATAGTATTATTTATAAAGACTGCTTTTCAAATGATTAGGGCCTTCAGGCATGTCTTGCATACTCACCTGTTTTGACATGTTTTGTAGCTGTTAGCCTACAAATATATGTTGTAGCCTATACATTTTATATAACCGAAAGCGTTTGACGAAAAGACCTCCCTAACGGGTTAATTTCTGCATGAATTAAGTGAAGGTCTACACAGTCACAACAAAATAAAATAGATATCCACTCTAAAGTTTTTAAATATTAAAACACCAAAATGCTTTTATCACTATACTGTACACTCATTTTTTTTTTTTTTTTTATCAAATGTTTTTATTTATACAAACTTTAGAAAAACAAAATGTACAACACAACAGAACAAAAAATACAGAAATTAAAAAAACAATAAGAACAATCACACAAGTAGAACAAATTAAAGAAACCCTCCCACCCCCTACCCCAGGACCTATCAGGACATGATATCTCCCAAGACCTTTTCTTCCCATTGGGAAAAATAAACAGGCCTCAGTCCTATACGTAATTATTATAAGAGGACCGAACCTAAGCTGACATTGTTTGATAGATATGTTTCTGTAAATAGTATCCTGGAGTCTCCATGGAGAGACTAACTCCTCTTCTAAAGCACAACATGAAACCACAGCTTTGGGGTCAAACCATTAAGCAAAGGTCCTAATGAGAAGGACCAGAAATACAATTTAAAATGTGATACTGCCATTGAGCCTCCTCCGTTGAGTAGTGGACATTTTGAGTCTAGGCTGCTTGTTGTTCCAAATAAATGTAGAGATTGCCGACTGGAGTTTCTGCCAATGAGCAATGGGGGCGATAAAGGGAGCATTGAACTGACTCACTTTTAACTATGCAGTGAACAGTATTCATTTTCATTATTTAAGCTCTGGCTTGTAGTGAGATGGGCTAGCTCGACCATCTATTGAGGTCCCGGAGAATCTTTTTCTCCATTACGGTAGAGGCCTGGAAAAACTGCCTTCAAAATAAAAGCACTTACTCGGTCAATAACAAATATACCTAAAAAACATACCAAACATATTCATACTGGAGCTTAAATTAAGAAATATGTACTATATAATGTGATCAATAATTATTTAAAACAAACTACGTATAACTACCACATTATAACTGGCTGAATGTAAAATTTAAGGAGTTTCAAAATAAAATACTTTCGAAATCTCTATCGTCCATCTGTTTTTAGATAAGAATAAAACTAAAACTGTCAATTATCAAAGATTTATTTCCCTCCAGGGTGATAGCAGGACACCCCAACTAGTCACTTAGAGAATATCAGGATAATCTGATGTAGAATTTCAAAATAAAAGACCTTTGAAGTCTCATATAGCCTATGAGCTATCGTCCCGCTGTTTTTAGATAAGAATTAAAAAATAAAAATCTCCAGTATCAAATACTTATTTCACTTCAGGGTGATAGCAGGACACCCCATCTAGTCACTCAGAGAATATCAAGACAATCTGATGTACAGTTTCAAAATATAATACCTTTGGTCTCATATATGAGCTGTAATCCCTCTGTTTTTAGATAAGAATAACACTGGCCGTTTCTCAATCGCGAGGATGCTTGCTTGGTAGCACATGTCTTCCGAGTCACTTCCTTCAGAAGTAAGGCAAGCATCCTTCCTGGCATTCGGAAAACGAAGAGTGGAACAGGCCAGAGCCCTAGAGCAGGGGTGGGGAACCTTTTTCCTCTCAAGGGCCATTTCAATTTTTTCAACATCCTCCGAGGGCCGTACAAATTATTGAACTCTGCTTAAAAATACTAAAATCACAGCCCATTCATTTCGCCTTTCTTTCATGCCGTGCAAAGAAAAAGCAACCTCTTAATCCAGATATTTTACCATGACTCGTGCATGCATTCAAGTGCACGGTTGTGGCATGACCACCAAAACAGAAAGCATATTGTACACAAGTCAAGATGTGTGCAAAAGTACGTGATGACACGTTAGGCTCGTGTTGTGTTCAAGGACCCTGACCTTGGCCAGGAAAAACAGGCACTCGCTTGTTTATTTTTTTTGCGGTCTAGATTTCTTTAATTTTTTTCTTTTTTGTGTGTGTTTATAAATTACCTCGAGGGCCGTAGCAAATGGTCTCGCGGGCCGCATACGGCCCGGGGGCCGGAGGTTCCCCACCCCTGCCCTAGAGAGATAAGGCTAGCAAGTGTACAGGTGTGCGTCATATGAGGCCCCGCCTTACATTTTCCGCCACAGATTTGGGGAAATTGGTCCATGCGCAAAGCATTGTGGGGATTTGAAGGACGCGAAGTCTACCCATGTGCAGCCTCGAAATTACCCCCAAACCAAGGACGCGGCCTCGGTGGAATTCGAGATTGGAACAGTCCTTCGGCGGCACTCAATGACGTAGTGTCCTTGAAATATTGGCTTGGAAGCCAGTTTCCTCTCGATTGAGAAACGGCCACTGTGTGTAGTCACCGTAGTCACTCACAGAATATCTGAGTGACTAGATGGGGTGCCCTGCTATCACCCTGAAGTGAAATAAGTCTGTGATACTGTAGATTTTTTGTTTTATTCTTAATTTAAACTCCAGTATATATGAATATGTTTGGTATGTTTTTTAGGTATATTTGTCATTGACCGTGTAAGCGCTTTTATTTTGAAGGCAGATTTTCCAGGCCTCTACCGTAATGCATAGGATATCCGCGCATCGCAATACAACGTGCGGGCTGGCTTGACTTTTTTTTCCGAAGTGGAGGCAGGTGGCTTGACCGCAGTGGGTCGAGGCAGGGTAAATCCTGCACTCGCAAAAGTCACTCAATCTCAAAAAGCTGATAGCCTACTATACAATTAATTAATATAATTGAGCACAAGAACATTTAATGTCCAAGAGTGTTAAATAATGTATGATCTAATCAAAAAGCATTAGCATTCATTGGAGTGATATTGTTATAATAAAACAGATATCTCCTTTTACATTTAAGATAATTCAGTCTTTTGGATATTTTTCTATCATTCTGCCATATCATACACGCATGCTTTGAAAGAGGCCAGCTGACTGAGCTGAGCACTGGAGTTGAACACCGGAAACTAGTACCACGTGACTCCAGCTGGTGTTTCCCGCCTGTATTCGTAATGATTTTGTCGGTACCAGGACACTGCATTAGAGTGACAGCTCTCCGCCGTTTGGTCTGCTGCAGATAAAGTACATGTATTTTAGAAGAGGTGTCACCTTTATTACTCCTGAATCAGATGATGACCTCAATGCAGCGGCTGGTGGATCACATGTTCAGTTTTTAGTGATAAAGTAGATTATCGAGTTTCCTTTCGGATGTGAAACCAGTGGACAGTGGACCAACAAAGTCGTCCGTCAGTCCGTGGTCGCCGTGCGTTCAGCATTCAAACGTTCCACAGTCTGAGAGACAGGTTGGTGATGAATGATGACATAATGTTAATGAAAGCCCTGTTAAAAGTTCATGTAATTATATTTACTATCAGAATATGTCGTTGTAGACGACCCTCCGTCTTTCAACAACAATGCCAATCATTTTCTGCAGAATGGAGCTACATTAGAAAAAACATCCCGGTATTTTATTTACTTTTATTATCTGAATCTGTTTGTCCCACTTTTTTTTCTGATTAAAAAGCTGTTATGTATCCCAATGACGAGCTCTTTCCTAGCTGCTATATATATATATATATATCCTATATTAACTAGATTTGTATCCTATATTACCTAGATTTATATGGAACACAATGTGTACACAAAGATGTAACTCAGATTTGTATTTACCATAGACTGTATATATAAAGGTATTTACATAATATGACATGGGCTATTGAAGGAACTCCTGATCCCCAAAACTGCAGTATGGATTTCAATATTCAAGCCTTAAATATTGAAATCCATACTGCAGTTTTGGGGATCATTACATTTTAAGGCCTTGTCTTGAGTGAACTTATGAAAAGGTCACTGCTTTATTCCTCCTTAGGTAAAAACTAGGCTGAACGCTCACACCTCACATCAGCCTTCTAACTGATACAAATACTGTTTTTTTTTATACTGTTCATTTCTGCCTCCAAGTTTTTTTTCTGCACTTCAAATCTTATCAAAGATAGGGTAGAATCTGACTTCCAGACAAAATTTGTCTTTAATAGTATGACATGCAGCCATAAAATATTGTGGGTATATTTGATTAATATTAAACAAGAATAGTAGTAAAGTTTTGCCCTCATAACCACCCAAAGTCACGGCCAAGCCAGAATTGACCCGACACACCAGTGACCATTTTTTGAGGCCTTCAGAATCTAATAAAATGACAAGACAACCATTGGTTTTGTTGTGCTTATTTGACTGTTTTGGAGCCTTGTTAAAAAAAAAGCTGGATGATGTTTATGAAAATGTAAAAGTGTCAAACTTGACAGGAGGGTTAATGTGTGTGTGCCAACAGAATAATGAACTACAGAACACAGGACCTGGGAACATAGATATACAGGGAGTAAACAGGCTTTACATGGTCCAAAAATGGGAAGAATTATTTTTCTGTGATAACATTTTTATAATATTTGAAAATGTACATAAATCAACATTCAAATAAATGTAGACTTAACCTAGTTATGTGTTGGCTTAGAGCACACATGTCAAACTCAAGGCCCGCGGGCCAAATGCGGCCTGTGGTGGATTTAATTTCGGCCCGCAGGATAATTTTTAATTACTATTAGATCTGGCACGCCGGTATATTGCACGCACACCGTCACTCAACCCTGAGGATTTCCTCAGCTCAGAGCCTGACTCCAAACATTGATGAACTTGCACCCGAGATGAGATGCCAAGTATCTGGCTTGAACTAGCATCACAGAGCAGCACACTGAGTTTCAACGGATGTTTCCTTCTGCACTTTTTTTCTTGCGACAACAGGGCATGTTTGGTTTTTTCTTTGAGGGAAATTGTTTTTTGAAGCTGTTGTTGGCCTGTGGAAAAGTGTAATCATAAGAAATGACTCGGGAAAAGCTGTAGATAGAGCCATAAGAAATGAATACAACTGATTATTTAATGTTGTTTTTATAGGCAATCATTTAAGCTTTGTTAGTTCCAGGTTTAATCTGTGCAATAAGTTCATTTCAATAAGTTTTGCAATAAACATTTAACCAGTCCGGCCCTCGACTAGTACCGATCTTTTAATTTTGGCCCACTGTGTATTTGAGTTTGACACCCCTGGTTAGTTTTCACTGGCAGTCCCTTTGCTTGATGTCGTTAGGCATCATACAATAATACAAATGATACAATGAGTGTAAAAGTTAAAATCATAATACATTGTGGAAAAAAGCAATACAATTAAACAACGTGACACAATCCTATTAGTGCTGTTATGTAATATGTGTATTGACATAGCATCAGTCAGTCTGTGGTATTGATTGTTTTTCAAAGGAGAGGGACGTTTATTTGTGTAATGAGGTTTTGTTCCAGCAGGTGCCAGTGTAGCCTCACTGTTAGCTGCTCCTCTTTAAATCCAGACCACAGTCAATTTATTTTGAGTGCCTGAATTTTTTCCGTGCTGTACATCCAAAAGTGGTTCTCCTTTTTCCCCCTAAAAAGTCAGGAATTTTTAACATGCTATTCTAACGGGCTTACCCTTTTTAATCTTATAGAAAATGTTAAAATGATTAGCCATTCTGTAACCGAGGATGGCCCTTTACATAGTCGATTAATCAATAAACCAATTGACAAAGAAAATCTGTCTACCAAACATATTTTGACATCCAGTTTATTGTAAAATTCATCAACCAAACATTTCAAACAGTTGCTGGTTCCAGCATCTCAAATCTGAGATTTTTTTAATGTTTATAAATAATCATAAGGCTTTGAAAAACAAGCACAACTCTGAGCTCTTTTGATTTATCAAATAATGATTTGGCAGAATATTGATAATGAAAAAAGTGGTTTGTTGCAGCCTTGCTTTGTACATGTTTCTATGTATTATGAGTGGAGTCTTAACATTTTTGTTGACAGCTGACCTGTGTTTATTTTTAGACCAATTTCTTTCAATGAATCCACACAAATAACATCACATCCCTTTGTTGGTGTATCATTTGGCGCTGGTGAAGAGAAGTAACAGTAAGACTCATTGGTGAACCATGGGCCCTCTGATCAGAATCAGTCTCCTCCGCCCAGCCTTCCCTTGTGTGAGCAAACACTATACCAACACACATTAGGACTGCTGCTTTGTGTGGATTGAGAGAGCAACAAAGATGCTACACAGAGTGATATGTCGTTAGTGAGCAGGTGGGAAGGACGACATTGAGCTTTTGCCTCTCCAGCTAAGTAATGAAGAGGTTCCCATGGCGACCCTTCTGCCTACTGCCATCCCTGTGTCATGGCGGCCGGCAGCCGGGATCAAAGTGTGCTGTCCTCAACTCTGCTGAGAGCGGAGGGTTAAAAGCTGGGGGAAAAGCCCCTCATTACACTTAACCAAATCTCCTTTAAGACACAGCTGACTTGTTACTGTGACAGAACCATCAGGTAGAGGTTTCTAACAATCGACTCTCTAGGAAATGAGAGACTGTCCACAGGTTCAGCCCACTGCTGCTGACAGTGATTGAGCGTCGGATAGGGACGTAACAACTTTATTTCAGTGAAAATAAATCATAGGTTTATAACACTGGACCACAAAGTATACATCTAATCTCTAAAATACTGCTTTTAGTTTATTATATTATTTTTTATAATATTATTTTAATATATTGTATTGCGATATTTTGTATTACTACATTTATTTTGAAAAAATAAAATAATAAACCTAAGAATGTGAACTGAATTGCAACTGGATTAACTTGATCACTGTGTACAATTTTTTTTTTTAGAGGAATTATATTTTATTTTGTATATATTGCTGAAATTATGATTATGGTTGTTTGTAATATATTTAATAGTTTAACACAAACACAATTTGATTAGTCAATCAACACATTGACAACAATGGTTCTAGCTTTTCAAATGGGATTTGTTGCTTTTCCTCCATTTTATTTTCATTTTAACTGAATGCCTCACGGTGGCCCGTTGAAAACAAATATTTGACAGTTTGTGTTTTTATATTTTCTTTGTCATTTTTGCCTTTATTGGACAGAAGACAGTGTAGGGGCAGACTAATAAGGGGGTGAGAGATAAACAACAAATGTTCTGTTAAAACCTTGTTCCCTAGGTGCTTTTAGAAAATAATTGTTAGATGCAGCCTTCATTTAAAATAAATGTGTTATTTAAATTGCAAATCAATCTTAAGGTTTAAGAAATATAATTGAATTTCTTTCTTTCTATTTTTTTGTTTCAGGTTTTGTTGTACCTCAGTTGTTGCTGTAGTTGAGGAGTTTGTTGTTTGACACTTTTTCACTTTCCTTGTTTCTTTTGGCTTTTAGTCCAAGCATTAAAAGTTATAAAAGGATTATCACTTAGCCTGACTTGGAGGGGGGGGGGTTAGGACGGTCCTAATTAGATCACTGTAACCCTCATGTGAGCAGCTACACTCCTGGTGGTCCGGTGCTGGGACACACTGCAGCTTATCGACTGGGAGAGAGCTGCGAGAACAACCAGAGTGAAAGGCCGAGTAAAAAGGAGGGGGTGG